ATGTTACTTCTGAATAATGCAGCTTTCGAATGGTGAAAAAATTATTGCAATCGGTTCAGTAGTTTTTGAGTTTATTCATTACAAACATACAAAAATACAAATCTTTCCTCTTTATAATATTAGTATAGATATGGTATCCGGCCGCGGATTTTAATTTTCATACCCTGTCATCAACACTATTGTATATATGTGGCAGTAGCTAACTTAGAAAAAGTTACGTCATTAAACCTATTTTATTTAGTGAGTGTGTTAAGTGCGGAGCCTAGAAGAGGTCCACTTACCGGCTCAGCTCTGGACAAACTTTGCTGTTAGTCAAGAGGTGTCAGTTTCGGTTAACGTAACTAACTTATCTTGAAGGTGATTAGGGAGGCAAACAGAGATATTGTTTCTGGGATCTTGGACTTTAGGGCGACTAGTTTTGTAGCTTTTAGGCGTGGTAACTAGTATAATGTCATTAAGACCTTTCAATACGTTATGTGTGTGAATTAAAAGGTTTATTATTTAATCATTCATCACAAACAAAGTCAAAGTCTAAACATTTATTTCAATTAAACCATAATTTGGTACTGTTGAAACGTCAACAAATCCTTCCTATTAATATTATAAATCAGAAAGTGAGTTTGTTTGTTTGTTCCACTTTCACGCCGTAACTACTAAACCGATTGGTTTGAATTTTTGAAGACGTGAAGTTAGAAGTCTGGATTAAATAATAGGGTACTTTTTATCCCGGAAAAATTTGATATTCTCGAGGGAAAACGAAATTATTGGTGGTAAGTATTAGATGGCGCTGTGTGTATTGGTATATGTCACATAGGCTACTTTTTATCCTTTTGTGACGCGAGCGAAGCCGCGGGTAAAAGTTAGTACAAAATAAATAATACTCTGTCAGTCAGTCCGTCAATGAAGCTAGGGGAAGCTATGACTCATTCCAAAATGTAGATTCGAATGGAGAAGAACGAGCAAGAAAGTCCATTCACAACACTATGTATAGTTAAACATCTAACAACCAACATCTCTAATCCCTTTTCTAATCTAAAACAGCATTCAGTAAGCTACAAATAACAATCAGCTATCGGGACTTCAACATGTTAGCTGTTATTCAAGCTAACCGAAGTGTAACATTGAATAGATGACAGCTCAAAGCGTTCGCGCCATTTTCTCGAATGACATTCTAAGGGTCGGTGTAGACGGGACATCGGCACAGCCACAGCCACCAAAAGCTATGAACGGTCACAAGGCTCATAAGAGTAGCTGAGTAGCTGATGCGCAAGATAGAAACTTGTGGCTGCTATATTTTTTGTTTAATTTATAGGAGAGCATTGAATGAACGGATTGCATTTTAGCGAGCATTGGTATTCATATGAACTTTAAGTCTTTATTTATGGAAATGACTATCTCGGTTGAAATTCGATAGGTACTCACACGCAATGTACATATATCAAAGCCTTTTTTTTAAGGGGGAAAATCATCAAATCACCTCTCCCGCCTAGGTGAGGTGGAAGAGAGTGTCAGACTCTTACTGACTAAAAACCACCCCGTTCCTTCTCCTGCACTTCGAGCCGGAGCCCCGGTAACCCGTTAGGTTCTCTGCTACTCCGAATCGGCATCAGCCCTATTGGGCCCCATCCGTGGTGGTCTGATGGCTCTTTGAGACGCGTGTGAACACGACGCGCCGTACGCTCAGGTCTATATATCAAGGTCTAAGAAGCATATGTGTGTGTCGAAGGTATAATGTAGGAAAACTACACGAAATATGCCATCGTGTGGTGACATTTTGTGGCTCTGGTGGTGGCTCGTCTGTATCAAGTCTTAGTCTGTCCGGATATTCTCAGCTCATTCGTTCGTTTTGTAGATAGTTACGTTCTTTTTGTTCGAAGTTTTTCTTTAGAGCTGAGGCGCTGGTTTTTATATTCATTCGCCAGCTACTTTATTTTATGCTTTGTGGAATTTCATTCTCGAAGTGAATACAATCTTTGTGTAGGATGAGTCTTATTGTTTATTACAGAAAATAAGAGTTTTGTAATGGCTGACATTTTATTTCATTAGTATAGTTAAGATACAGGATGTTTTTTACGGAATAGCCTCGTGTAGTGTATTGTTGGGATTTCTGACTTCTACAATTTCAGGATTCTTTTAAGAATGGCTTTGAGTCTGAAAATGTATTCTGTCCTGTTTCTGTCTGTGCATCGTGAAGGCTTACATCTTTACTAATATTATAAATCGGAAGTGAGTTTGTTTGTTTGTTTGTTTGTTCCGCTTTCACGCCGTAACTATTAAACCGATTGCTTTAAAATTTGCAGACGTAAAGTTAGAAGTCCGGATTAAATAATAGGGTACTTTTTATCCTGGAAAAATTTGATATTCCCGAGGGAAAACAAAAGAATTGGTATAGATGGCGCTGTGTGTATTTGTATTATATTTGGTATATGTCACATAGGCTACTTTTTATCTTTTTGTGCGGGTAAAAGCTAGTACATGATATATGGGTCTCATAACAACACATAACTAGCTATACTATTATAGAGGTATATCTATACTAATATTATAAAGCTGAAGAGTTTGTTTTTTTGTTGGTTTGTTTGAACGCGCTAATCTCCGAAACTACTGGTCCGATTTGAAAAATTCTTTCTGTGTTGGATAGCCCATTTATTGAGGAAGGCTATAGGCTATAAAATATCACGCTACAATCAATAGGCGTCGAGCAGAGCGAGTGAAACCGCGCGGAAGTAGCTAGTTATATTATATTAATGTTAATATTGTAATTAAAAAAACCAGTAAGCAAATTATAAGTGGAGTATATACAAATAAATTATTCTATTCTATTCAATACGTAGGTATTACATTACCCTTTATATGTTCTGTGTACATTACCATATACTCTGTCTACATCTTTGAGTTTAACCTAGATATATGTAAAAGTGGTTTCCATTCTCCATTTTGTATTTTTGTTATACCTAGCTTACTTTAAAGTTGTAGTTGCTAAGCTTGAAGCTGTCTGTCAGTTTTAGCTTATTTCTAGCGAACGAATAACTTTAACGTTGAGAAAAGTTTATACTTTATAGCTTCTATGGTTTTAGCTTTTGATCCACGTTTATTCTTTGATTTTTGTTTCTCGAACATTTCTATATTTATCTGAGCATTTTGTGCCAGTTCATGATTATGATTCGTTAAGTTAATACACTAAAATTCAAATTATAGAAAAACGTAACTAATCTATTAACTAAATCGAAAACATAACATAACATCACGCTTTTTATCCCCGAAGGGGTAGCCAGAGGTGCAAATTATACCAGTGTATAATGTAATGTAACACCCACTTTTCACTATTTATGTTATGAGTCCCATGTAATAGGCGGTGAGCCTATTGCCATATACCGGGCACTATTCCAGACTCTGTGCTACTACTAAGAAAATTTTGTAATCGAACCCGAGACCCCCTGCCCGGCAGTTGCATTTGCGACCACTCGAGGCAGTGAGCAAAAACGTAAATAATTCCAATATGCAGTTTGGACTACTTATCTTATTGTGATTTCCAAAATTAGCCCACTCTGTATTTGCATGGCTTTTGGTCTCTTGGCCGAAAAGATATCTAATATCTGCCCCTTATTAAAAAAAGTAAAACAATTTTAGTAAAATATAAAAATACTTCAAAGTAAAAAAACACTTTCATTTCAACAACTGCACCGTAAGGTCGACTGTTATAAGACAATGTCCAAGGCATTAAGTCCACCAGCCTGTACATATGTTTTTTGTTTGTTTGAACGCGGTAATTTCCGAAACTACTAATTCTAATTGAATAATTATTTTTGTGTTGGAAAGTCCATTTATCGAGGAAGGCTATAGGCTATAAAACATCTCGCTACGACCAATACGAGCCGAGCAGAGCGGGTGAAACCGCGCGCATGTAGCTAGTAAATAAATAAAAAAACAAACATAGAACCTAATACCAACAAATGGAACGTAAGGCCGGCAACAGGTTGATAAAGCGACACCTGTTAGATAGCTGCTATCAGTCCAGTTAATTAAATCCGCCGCACCGAGTCTACATAATGAACCCTTTGCTAACATAACTGACACTTTATACCATCCCATACCTAATAAAAGGGCTTTTTTATCAACCTAAGGTGTTTCAATACTTTTGTTGCGGTTAATTTGAGATTTTCGTCCCATTTATGAAGTAATGTTGAAGCTTGTTTGATTAAATTAAAATTCCCAGTCATAGCACGAAGTCTGGGATTGTGCCCGGTATATGGCAATAGGCTCACCCGCTGTAAATGGGACTCATAACATAATTAGTGAAGTGGGTGTTACATTTGTACAGTGGCATTAAGTGTCTTAATGTGCACATCTGCCTACCTCTTCGGGGATAAAAAGGCGTGATGTATTTTTTACGTAATACAGGTGTTACATTGTACAGTGGCATTAGGTGTCTTACTGTGCACCTCTGCGTACCCCTTTGGGAATTAGCTAAGGGGGAGGCGGGGCGCGTGAGGGAAGGAACCTTCTCACGCTCCAGCCGTTACGTCTCTGGGCGTCGGGGATCGCGAGATGATCTCCAGCTACCGTAAGCACGGGCCGGCGGACGGCGAGCACGAGTTACTCGCCGCCGTTTCGCGCGCGCCTCAAGGAGCCATGAGCCATCAGACAACCACAGATGAGGCCCAATATGACTGATGCCGATACGGAGCCGCGGAGGACTTAACGGGTTGCCGGGGCAAGTGGGCCGGTCGAAGTGCAGGAGTAGGAACGGGGCGGTTTTTAGTCAGTAAGAGTCTGACACTCCCTCTCGCCTCACGCGGGCGGGAGAAGTCATTGGATGATTTGCTCTACTAAAAAAAAAACTCTGCGGGGATAAAAGGCGGGATGTTATGTTGTTTGATGAAACGTTGCAGTTATGAAAGACTATAAACTAAATATTTTTGATTATGTGAATTAGTTTATGCGCATTTGTAGATGTATTATATTAAAACTAAACTTCTATGCATCTATCTCTTCCTCAGAGCTGTCTCTCTGCTGACGGGGTTCGTGGTGCGGACGAGGTCTGGTGCCGGGAGCTGGCTCGGCTACGTCTCCAGGTCTGACCCTAGAGGTGCCCTGCCCGCCTGGCTGGTGAACAGGTACTCAATTTGGTTAATTATACTAGATGCTTAATTGGTTTTTTGTGTGTCTGTCGAATGGTCGGAAGTATAACTTAGCATAAACGATATATTAATTTCATTAAGATATCTGATAACAACCTAAACAACAAAACTATGTAACTTGATTGAAAAAGAGTAACCTATGGAGTTTCTTGCTCGTTCTTCGCCATAAGAATCTACATCTTGGAATGAGCAAATAGATTCACTTTTAATTTTTTTGTTGACCGTCAAAAGTGCCTTTCTGGTCTAATTGAAATAAATGATTTTGACTTTGACTTTGACTTTGACTTATCCCCTGAGAAACATCATACGTGAATTGGAAAATAGGAAAACATAATTCTATTAAAATAAATGGCTCAGCAGTATTGGAAATTGCGAGCGGCATGCGGCATGCAAAGTTAATTGAAAATTGAAAAGTTTAACACCTGCAATGGAAAAAGATTTACCATCTACGTGATATGCACTGTATTGGCTTACGGTTAGAGCTCAAAATTCAATATCTAGTTAATGATCAGTTTTATATGCAATGCGATTTTCTTCTATTTGTAAAATCGTTGACAATGCATGGAAACTTTGCTGCAGTGAGTACGCGTACATATGAAAAATCATAGTAAACTGAATTGAAACTTTGTCCGCTTACCATAAGGCTAAGATTTGTTTACCTTACCCTGCCTTTAGATTTGTTTTCTCTAATAGTTGGACTAAAAAAATATAATTGGAAATTAACTATGACAAACATGACAATATTGAAAAAAAAAATATAATTGGAAATTAACTATGACAAACATGACAATATTGAAAAAAAAATCGTTTCCCCACATTAGGATCATTAGTATTTTCTCCTGTATCGTTTTGCGTGGGTGCGTTTACAAACATACAAGTTCACATACACAATGACACCCAGACCAGAAACAACAATTTGTGGATCACACAAAGAGTTGTTCCGTGCGGGAATCGAACCCGCGACACGTTGCACGTCAGCCGGTTTCCCAGCCACCGCACCAACCGTGCAGTCTGAAATTCTGAATTATATTTTACGAAATAACGTAATTATCACTAACCTATTTACTATGTACATACCTAAATTGTTATCTAGGGTCACAGCACAACTAGCACCACGCCTAGTGCAGCAGTTGCACGCAGCAGCTCGTCGGTACCCTGGCTGGAAGGCGCTCACAGACCTGCCGTATCACAAGCCCTGGAGACACCCTGAACAGGTCCCGCCACATAGGATCTCTTTGGACGATGTAAGTGTGAAATAACAGTAACTTTTTACACAAAATATTGTCATCATCCATCGCTTGTCATAGTTCATTGATGGACTACCGACCCGCCCCGGCTCCGCACGGGTGCAATGCTTATGTAAATTACGACATCACATTAGAAACCTATAAATTTATCAGTGTTTCTCTACTATGATTAATTATTACTATGAAAATTATGCATGGATTATAGATATAAACCTTTCTTAAGACTTTGACTGCCAATAAAAACTGTTGAAGGCAAATCCTCCGCTAACGCCGGTCACCGACGACCCCCATGACGTTTAACGTTTTAAAAATCAATCTATCTATTAAAACAAACGGCATCAAAATCCGTTGCGCAGTTTTAAAGATCTAACCATACATAGGGAGTACTACATACATTTATACTATGTAGTGATTACTGATTTGTGAGGCTCCATTACATATAGATATCTCTATCTACCTACCGTCACTGAAACTGTTAACCAATTATAATTAATGTGAGCAGACTAATTAAAAATTCAAATACCAGTGTGTAGTCCTTTAGTAATGTGTTTGAGCTATAAACACAGCTTCATAGCTAACTAACACACATTTTCATAGTTAGGCTATATGAGCCACTATTCTATACGAATTACGATCTATCAATGTCTTTCCAAGCAGTTCTTATATCAAATCACGACGGTAAACGATACTTAAAATGCGTCAAGCTCGGATCAATTTTTATTATGAAATCTTTACAAATTATTTTGAAAAATTATCTTCTACAGCGTCAAATTTAATTTTGTCTCAGTAATTAATGACTTATCTAATAACAAAATTAGACGAACCTTTCCGTATAAAAAGGAAAACGTCTCGAGATTTTTCGGAAAAAAAGGAAGAAATAAAATAAACTTTTAACGAGCTCAAGAAATCCGGCAACTTGGGGACGAGTGACACTTGGAATCGATAACTTTTTCGTCGTCAATTGACTATATAAGTACGAATAGAAAATAGATAGATATAGCTGCTTATGTCGCTTCAATAGGGTAGTGAACAGTGTATGAAAATTAAAAATAGAATTACCTCCTTCCCCAATCTCCCTAATCCCCGAATCTCCCACAATCCTTAAACTCCTAATTCCCAAAAGGCCGGTAACGCACATGTAAAGCCTCTGGTGTTTTGGGTGTCAATGGGCGACGCCGATTGCTTACCATCAGGTGATCCGTCTGCCTGTTTACCGGCTTATTACATAAAAAAAAGATTGTCAGTTAGACAATGGGAAAAATTTGACACATTTTTTTTTACTTTTTCGTAAATGAAAACAATACTTAGATAACTGAATTAAGTTTAGGAGTGAGGTCGTTATGTCACGCTACCCTATAAAATGTAGTAAATCGTGATGTCACACGATATTTTAAACCAATATAAATATTGTCTTTTTGACTGACTGCCTCGTTGGCCGAGTGGTCGCAAGTGCGACTGATGTGCGGGCTATGTATGTTATGAGTCCCATGTAATAGGGGGTGAGCCTATTGCCATATACTGGGCACAATTCCAGACTCCGTGAGATTTTTTTAAAGACCCCTTCCTACTTTGTCCGACCCGGCAATCGAACCCGAGACCCCTTGCTTGGCAGACCAAACGAACACCGGACAGCAGCGTTTTCTGAAAAACCTGAACTATTTCTAAAAACTGTGATGTCTAACTGATATAACTCGTCAAAATATAAAAACATATTTCATACTAAAATACCTTGACCTATTTACTTAATATTAAACAAAGAAAAAATAAAAGATGGGGAATTTCGTAGAACCGAAGCTTCTTCTAAGAGATACTCATCTTAATGTGATGGGTCTTTCATTAGAGTACAGAATATACATTCAAAGAAGTATATATATATATATATATATATATATATACATAGACACGGGACCTCTGAAAGGTTTCTAAATAATTCCCGAACTTACTTCGGGTCCAAATCCCTCATTATCGATTATATTGTTTCCAAACTTTCAATCCAATTCTACTTTCGTACTAAAACCTTCTTTTTATTTCTTGGAAATGACATTAATGGGCTTTAGGTGCCTTTTTAACTTTTTTGGTTTGATGTAGGATTTTGTTAAGACGTTTTTTTTTCGATTGATTGACATAAGCATAAAATTATTTCCGAATTCCCAAGGATTCCCGATTGTATAAACATAGGCCTTATTGGCCCAATGGTCGCAAGTGCGACTGCCCGGCCAAGGGTAGACCCCTTGGCCGGGCAGTCGCACTTCAGGGGTTCGATTCCCGGGTCGGGGAAGTATTACTGGGTTTAAAGAAAACAATCAGTAGTTGCACGGAGTCTGGAAATGTGTCCGGTATATGGCAATAGGCTCACCCCGTATTATGTGGGACTCATAACAAAAATAGTGAAAAGTGGGTGTTGCATTAAGCAGTGTACCTCTGCTTAATGTGCACCTCTGCCTACCCCTTTGGGAATAAAGGGCGTGGTGTCATGTATTGGTTTGATTTAGAATTTCATTAAGACGTTTTTCTTTGATTGATTGAAATAAGCATAAAGTTTGCGACGAAGGTATTTTTTTTGAGTTCGCAGTAGTAGTACGGTTACCTACCTATTGTAGGGGTATACACATCTACTGATATTCAACCAAAAGACGAACTGGCAAAAGATTAGAATAGAAAATCTATTTCTTTTAAGTTCAATATGGCAGCTTGAAATATTATCTTAATATAAAGATACTAGCTACTTCCGCGCGGTTTCACACGCTCTGCTCAGCTCCTATTGGTCGTAGCGTGATGTTAATAGCCTATAGCCATCCTCGATAAATGCGCTATCCAACACAAAAATAATTATTCCAATCAGACTTGTAGTTACGGAGGTTAGGGCGTTCAAACAAACAAACAAAAAAAGCAAACTCTTCAGCTTTATAATATTAGTATAGATTTAAAAAAATCAACATATGATTTAAATACACTGTAGTCGAGTTAATAATAATAACAAACTTTCGAATAATGTAGGTGGAAACCTGAAACAGTTCTCATAGCATTAGATACAGAAGTTTTCACAGAGTTTGAACGTTCACACAATATCATGGTTGATAAAACTTTATACCTAGTTAGGGTTTAGTAAAACCGAGTTAGAAACCAGCGAAGTGGCACTCTAAGGTTTTATTTAATATTATTAAAGTAATACTACATTTGTCCCTGAAAGGGATAATATTATGTAGAGGTAGATAGGTTTTTTCTTTATATGATATAAGCTGGAAAACGAGCAGACGGATCACCTGATGGTAAGCAATCGGCGCCGCCCATGGACACCTGAAACACCAAGGCGTTACAAGTGCGTTACCAGCCTTTTGTGAATTGGGAATTTGAGGATTTTGGAGGATTCCGGGATTGGGGAGGGGGGTAATTGGGCCTCCGGTAACTTCACTCACACGACGAAACACGACGCAAGCGTTGTTTCACGTCGGTTTTCTGTGAGGCCGTGGTATCACTCCGGTCGAGCCGGCCCATTCGTGCCGAAGTATGGCTCTCTCACACTACTTGTTTGACGAGAAGAATATCTAGAACTAAAGTTCTGGATTTTAAATTCAGTTACAACTGATTGATCAATAAATTAGTAGGTAAATATTACTTTAGCTAGTAATTGACTCCTTAACTGAAACTTACCCGGGTTTCACCTAGGTAAAAGATTAAAAATCTTTTATACCTAGGTAAAAGTTTCAAATTTGTTAATCGATCGGCGATTATTAAGCGAAGCAAATATAAGCCAACTCTCATGCGCATCCATTTTTTTGCGCAATTTATATAATTGCGCATATTTAATTTAGTAATATTTAGTTGAAATTTTATTTCAGTAATACTTAGTTTTAATTTAAGTTTTTTATTTGAATAAATGTTATTAAAATATTTTTTGTTAAGTTTTCGTTTACAACTTCTGTAACACCTAACCTATAAGATAACTAAACCCGATGTCTTCTATCCGTTTGTATCACACATTTTTTACACCTCAAATTGTTACTATTTCCGTGACAAACAAACATAATTTCTAGTGAATTCATTATTATGCTAATGTCTCCAGCGTGGATTGCGAACACCTTTCATTATGTATTTACTTTTTATGTGTAGGCAATGTTACACGGTTTTGGCATAATAGTTAGGGTAAAGGTACTATTAATAGTTTTTAAACATAACATAACATCACGCCTTCTTATCCCCGAAGGGGTAGGCAGAGGTGCACATTTCGGCACTTTATGCCACTGTACAATGTAACACCCACTTTTCACTATTTATGTTATGAGTTCCATGTAATAGGGAGTGAGCCTCCGTGCTACTAATGAGATTTTTTTAAACTCAGTAATACTTTGCCCGACTGAGGAATCGAATAGTTTTTTTCATTGAAAAAACGTTGCCCCACACTAAGATTACCTCCTGTGTCGTGTGTGCGTTTACAAACATACAAGTTCACATACACATGACATCCAGACCCGAAACAACAATTTGTGGATCACACAAAGTGTTGTTTCGTGCGGGAATCGAACTCGCGACACGTTGCACGGCAGCCGGTTGCCCAGCCACCGCATCAACCGTGCAGTCCATACAGAATACTAGTTATTACCTCCGGCTTCGCTCCAGACCATGTATAATATAGTAACCTACAATTATAATTATAAAAGCTATGCCTTAGTATACGGCGCGTAGCGTTCCGCGCGCACAAGGAGCTATCAGACCACCACGGATGGGGCCCAATAGGGCTGATGCCGATACGGAGCCGCGGAGAACGTAAAAGATTACCGGGGTTCCGGCTCGAAGTGTAGGAGCAGGAACAGGGTGGTTTTTAGTCAGTAAGAGTCTGACACTCCCTCCCGCCTTACCCAGGCGGGAGAAGTCATTCGAAGATTTTACCCCCTTAAATACCTTTGTATAAGGACTGTATAAATAAAACGTCGTATAAAACCTAGTATAAAAACTAGCAATTAAAATCACAATAACAAAACACAGTAATAAAGTAATACGCATTAATTAATTAACCTAAATTAACGCAAAAGGTTTTATGTGTAACAGCCTTTAAAGGACGTCAAACATTGCACAATTTATTATATCTAGGTACTTATTAAGGGCTAATAAACATAACTAAACAATGTCTTATAGCTGAAAGATAATACCTCTACTATTTTGTTCAAAAAGTTTTTTTTTAATTTATAACCTACTTGTTACGTAATATATTATGAATTAAAAGTAATATTTTCTACGTAATCGACTGCCTCGTTCGCCGAGTGGTCGCAAGTGCGACTACCGGGCAAGGGGCTTCGGGTTCGATTCCCGGGTAGAGCAAAGTATTACTGGTTTTAAAAAAAAATCTCAGTGGTAGCACGAAGTTTGAAATTGTGGTATATGGCAAAAGGTAGGCCCCTATTACATGGGACTCATAACATACATAGTGAAAAGTGGGTGTTACATTGTACATACATCAGAATTAATTGCCGTAATGTGCACCTCTGCCTACCCTTTCGGGGTTAATAGGCGTGATGTTATGTATTTTCAAATCATATTTCATGTAGTTTCATGTAGTCAACACGTTATGTTTTGTCCAAAATATTAATTTTATTATTTTCTAATTCCAGTGCGTAGACCCCGACGCGCCACCGCCGCCCGAAGAACCAAAACCAGACACATCCAAAGGCAAACTGGAAGTGCCACACACCAAAGAAATAGAGAGCCACAGCGTGGAAGACCTCGGCGATATATCTTCAGAGTTCAGCGTAGAAGTAGAAGAAGATAACCTAGACCACGCTCAAGACCCCAAAAAGAAGGGGAAGTTCTACAAACTTGTGAAGTCTATGAAGAATAGAAGGAAAAGTGTTCAGGTCGCGAAGAGTGCTGATAACTTGGCTGATAAGCCTTTGGAGGAACGGCAGAAGAAGAAGAAAGGTTTTAAGTTTCATAGGAGGTTTAGCCTGAGTCGAGGGAGGGAGGATTGAGCTTATACGCGTTGTGACTTAGACGGATAGGGTTTGTGAATTGATTTTGAACTGCGTGATGGCGTTTCTAGTATTTGTATGTATGTACATCTAGAGTGTGTCACAGATTTTGGAGGATAGATAGAGGTGAGATTTTTAACTTTATCTCAAAAACATAAGGTTGAAAATTCATTAAAGAACAACAGCTTCTTTAATGGATTCTCAACCTTTGAATTTCAGTTTTAGCTGCCGGTTCTATGTGGTTTGTTCTAAGAGTTTTGCAACCATAAAATCAATGAAGATAGTTTGAAGAAACATTGTTGCAAGCGTTTATAAGCCACGGTGATCACTTACCGTCAGGTGGGCCGTGTGCCTTTTGCCACCGGCGTGGTATAAAAAACTATGAAATACAATAAAGGACATGTGATAGACATCGTTCTATCATTTAGTTCATTTGTTTAAGTATATAGAAACTCTTTATCGCGTAGTTCAAAAACAAATTAATTGTTTAAAGATATAAGAAATGGTTCCCTTGACATGCCAAAGCATTATTTATATTATTTTGTTTACAATACAGTTGTTAATTCTATGCGTCTGCATTATTAGCCTATTTTATTACTCACTTTATAAACTCAAGTTCACGTTGCGCTCTCCACTTACACCATTATAGACTTTATTTCTGATGTTTAGAGACTATATTTGTATGAACAAATGTTGATTTTTCATAATCGGATATTAAGGAGTTAAGAAGTCATTAATTTTTAAATGGAAACGTTTTTAATTTTCTCACAATCTTTGTGTCCGAATCATCGGTTGCAGTCAACTATCATGTATCACCAAGTGTAGACATAATAAAAATCTCCTATACAGTGTGCTCGCACATTTACCCACACAAGTAAGTAGTGCACGCCCATGCTCGTGATATAAAACATCTCGTTATACATATAAATGCTGTGTGGAAGCAACTTATAGTACTTCCTGTAGAAAGAATACAAAATTTGGGTAACTATGAATTTGTTTTTATAATAACTATCGTGTGTACTAAATTACATATTACAATTATTACTCACGTGAATATAGTTTTTAGTTTACTATGAATATTTTCCTAATCGAACTCACTTCAAATACTTTCAGCAACCATACACTGAGTTACTGAGTCAACTGCAATATTTATTTAACCTACTTTCTTGATAAATAATTTAGTTTTTAAGATAACATACTTTCATGGTTATCTTATTTTGTTTTCTGTTATTTAAATACATTGTTTTAATCTGTAAAGGACATATTGTTTAATTCAATTTTGTATCAAAACCAGGACATACGGTGTGTGTAATTAAAAATTAAAAATTTAATGAGAAAAGTGTATAATAGTGGGTTTTGACGACTTCAGTTATTGAAGAGAATACTTTGAATAGTTCACACAATGTGGAGCCGACTTGTAAGTACATAATTATATGTTTCAAAGTGATGTAGGTAATGGTAAAGATGTAAGACATTAATTATTATATTTTATACTTAAGTAATTATTGCGTCATTGGCCGAGTGGTCGCAAGTGCGACTGCCGCGCAAGGGGTCTCGGGTTCGATTCCCGGATTGGGCAAAGTATTACTGGGATTTTCAAAAAAATTCACAGTAGTAGCACTTAGTCTGGAATCGTGCCCGGTATATAGCAAAAGGCTCACGCCCTAATACATGGGACTTATAACATAAATAGTGAAAAGTGGGTGTTACATTGTATAGTGACATAATGTACACGTCTGCCTATCTCTTCGGGGAAAAAGGCGTGATGTTATGTATGTCACGTAACGTAAATATTTGACGAGGAACTCGACTAGTACTACGTAGTCATAATATGATCTTCTAGCATGGCTTGAAACTAGTCGAGTTCGTCATCAAATAAGAAGATACGTGAGTAAGCCGAAAAATATAATAATTAATTATTGTTCTTATTGTGAACAACTTTCATTGGCTGTTCAACATGTGGTAACATTTATTTAGTTAGAAGAAGAATGAATAAATATTTATAAAGCAATAGACACGAGAAAGAAACAGAGTTAGTTGGTAATAAAAAAAATACTTCAAAAATACAAAAAAATAATAGTCCAAGTTTTTATAATAACTCTCGTGAGACATATTAAATTAAGTAAAATCGCGGGTTACTCACGTGAATATACTGAGAAAAGCTCTACTAGTTTCGAACCACAGAGGGGTTCTTCCTCATGAGCAGCGTGCGCGGTCGCGGCGACGTCGCGCAGCTCACTGGCTGGCGTTGACGCTCGCTTCGGTGTTGCTACTTGCCTCTGTGGTTCGAAACTAGTAGAACTTTTCTCAGTATATTCACGTGAGTAACCCGCGATTTTAGTTAATTTAGTCCAAGTTTGTTTTTGTGTAGCTGAACATACAATAACGATATTTGTGTACCTACATTGTACATACATTTCTGACACAGAAATTATGAATTCAGAATTAAAGGACATGACGTTTACCTTATGACATAAACTGCTTAAAAATACCTATTGAAATATTATCTCTATTTCCCGTTAAACGCGAGCAAAGCCGCGACTTACGCTAGTGTTCAAACTGATATATAGAAGAGAGAGAAGCTATAAATGGTGTTGTATGAAATAAAGGAACTTTTGTATAAAAAAAATGTTAGACGTTGAAGTAGCTGTTATTAATATTAAGATCTAGTTTGTATTGAATTTTTCGTAATTTAATATTGCTTAATCGTGTCTCTAAATCTTCATATTGCTAATGTGTGAACTACATTCTATTCTGTCTTAGTTATCTGTCCTCTACTCTCTCTTTTTCTATTCAGACACCTATGAAAAGGACTCAATAAGTATTAAAACAATTGCTTTTTAACATATTAAGTTAAAGGACATGAATAGGACAACGAAAGGTTAAGCTTTTCCTATTTGTGTCCTTTAACTTCTGTTACTAAGTATAAACTTAACTTTACTTTGTCCTTTTCAATTAAAACTAAAGCTATATTTTTCTGGTCAGTAAAAAATATAATGACTGCCATCTGCTCTTCACGGGTCATAAAGATAATTCCTACTAATATCCAAGTGTTATCTTGTACAGATAGAAATTATGATTAGACCTGCTTTGAGGTATATCTGGGCTAAGAATCTAAATCGAACTGGCATGCATATGCCTCTATATTTAGTATTTACGTAAATATTGCTGGAGCTATATTTATAGTACCAAACACAATAAAAAGCGTTATAATTTCCACTATTTTCCAAGAAACATGATTTGTCGTCCAAATCACGTTGGTAATCGAATAAAAATCGTTACAAAAACATCGATAATGGAGTTGACAAAAGAATTTTTTCGATAGAATCGAGAGAATTCCGGCTGTGTGTGAAACAGATTAGCTATAATACAATAGGCGAGATTTTTTTCTAACTTTTCGATCGGTATTTGTTTTTTGTGGCCAAGTTCAAGGGAACGTAAGTATTGGTACTAAAGGGAGGTTTTGTGGAGGGAAAAAAGAAATAAAGTAACTATACTATGCCAGCAAATGATTGTTAGTATTATACATATTATTCACTCGTAAATAACACATAATGGGGCATACCATATTTTTGCTCACCAGATACCGCTAGTGTCGTTCTTCGACCAAAAGGCAATAGGGTAGATGCCTAATTTTTATTTTAATGTACGTCTGGTAAATTATTTTAAACCTATTTAGTCCGTAAGTTAGGTAATGAAAAAATATTAGACACGTATTTTTTATTCTCACAGAAACGAATACTTTCGACGATATATTGATTTGAAATGTCGCGTGACGTCACTTCTATGAACATTTTATACGTAGAAATGACGTTTTAGCCCCCACTCCTAAACTTTGATTCGTTTTATCTAAGTATTATTTATTCATACAACAAAATAAAAAAATACGTGTCTAATATTTTTCCTTACCTAACTTAGACGGACTAAATAGATTTTTTTTATTTTCATAGCCGTCATCATGCCAATTAGATGTTCCATATTTGACACGCCATTGGATGTTCAACATTTGGCAGCCAATCACAGCTGATTGGACAAAAAATCCTGTTCTTTTTACGTACATAACGCTTATGCTATATGGTGAACAATAATACAGCCCCCATTGAAAGGTAAGAAAGGTACAGGTTCGACTGCTTCCAAACGTGTGAATGAAGAATACAAAAGATTATTTACTGTAATCCAATAAAACAGTTTAGTACGAATACATATCTGACTTTGTCATGAAATACTATATAATTACAATTTCTTCTTTAGTCCCTTTCTTAGTCATTTTGAACCTAAATGTGAAGTAAAGAAGTATCTAATTTCATTGCTCCATCTATGACTTAGATCATTCCTAATTGTCCTACTGTTTTCTATGCATATGTCTTCATACCAACCTATGTTACCTTATAATAATAATTCTGCTTATGTACCTATGTATACTTGATGAAATGTTCGCTGTTACATAATATATTAAATTGTATTCAACTTTAATGTTGTACACACGGCTACATATCAAGCTTTACATAACCAGTATAAACTGAACGTTAAATGTGCGGAAAGATGATGCGACGCGATACCAGGATAAACTGGTTTTGTATAGATTGATATGTGGCCGTGTGTACGTATACTTATACCTAAGTATTCTTCGTACTGTTCATAAATATGTTTATGATGCGTGCCTTCAATCTTTTAATCTTTGTATCTAATGAATTTCCTAATAGATGTCATTTTCACTTATAAAATAAATAATTTTAAAAGAAAATAATAAATACAAAAATGTGCTCGATGTTATAGAAATTCTTTATAACACAGCTTCTAAAGTAAGTTTAACTAAAAATTACGAGTTATTCGCGTAAACTTATTGAGAAAAGCTCTACTAGTTTCGAGTCACAGAGGGGCACTTCCTCGTCACACAGGGACGGGAAATCAGGGACGTCACACAGCTTTTTGGTACCACTTACTCACGTTATTGTTCGATGAGGTTACTCGACTAATTTCGAGTCACTCCTTGGACCCAT